TTCTCCTTTTTTTTTTTTTTTTTCTTTTTTTTAGTCCTTCTGAAGTCTGTGTGGGGGGACTCCTCTGCCTTTGTGTGACTTTGAGGCTGCAAGAGATAAAAAGTAATAACAATCTGCAGCTGCTGCTCTTTTTCAGTGCACTCGAACATCCTTTAAAAATATTTCTGGAAAACATGTGGCATCTAGGGCCACCTGTTAGGCTATTAGAAAGTGAGAACAAACTCCCACTGGCAGAGCACAGCTCAGCCTGGGGCTCTGGTTCTCGTGAATAATGTGCTTTTGCTGATTTATGCTACGGAACAGTAAATCTGTATTGACATCAGTGAGCACCAGCCTGTGGAAGGACCCTGAGATTTGTCTCGTTCTGTCTGAGTGTGCACAGAAGTGCACGCTTGCATGTGTGCTAACCCATGCACGGGTGCTACCCAGTGGAGCTGCATCTGGAAGAGATGGATTAGGTCTGGTGGGAATGTGGATGCCATATCCTTACGGAAAGAAGCAGTGCGTGACTCATACTTCAGCCAACAGGCAAGTCACTGGAGCTGTGAACGTGTTACTTCTGCATCCCCCTGCCTTCAGGCTTCCAGGAAACCCAGAAGCTTCTCGGGTTGTAGTTTGGGTTTGGCTGCTTTGTTTCACCTTTGGTATCAAATTGGCCTGAGCCACGGATCAACCCTGAAGGTAGAGTGGACCTGCAGGGACTTGCATCTGGCCCTTCTTGTCCTCCTTTCCCTTCTTCCCACCTTCCCCATCTTGTTTCGCCTGAAGGCTTCCAATCCCCCATGTTTCCTACTGTCACACTGGATTTCCTGGGCAACAGATGCCACATCTCTTCTAGCTTTAGGGCTAGAAGTTGGGAGTCATTAGGGCTGCAGGTCCCTGATTTTTAGTGACAGAGTTATATGGTGGTGTATCCATCCTGGAGTGCTTCCCGGTTTGCGCCTCTCAGTGTTCGGCTCAGTGCGAGCGCACTGCCCCAAGTGTTCTCCTTCCAGTGAAGGCTCTAGGTTGAGGCAGCCTAATCATTAATTGCTGGGAAGTGTGGACTCCCAAAAACTGATGCAAGACTTGTGAATGTCTGATGAATGAAGGCACTGAGTCCCTCTCCTCCGCTGCCCAACAGCTGAGCCTCCAAGGGTTGGAGTGCATCATCACATCATCCAGTGTGATGGTGGGCTGGCATGAAGTTTGCTTCATTACAGCCAGGGTCTGCTCTCTTAGCTCCAAGGTTGTGCCTTTGAAGACCAAGGCATGACTGTGCTGGGAGCTATCAAATCCAGTCTTATAGGTTGGTGATTCACTAGGATGGCATGTGGCGCTTTGGGAGGCGGCGGGGCGGAAATTGTAATCTTTTAATTATTCATAGTAATTAGCAGAAGGGATTCCCAGGAGAGCTAGGATGAAGGATAGCAGGACAGACAAGTTAGGAGGACTGTAGTCAAAGAAAAATAAGTTTTCTTACCAGCTAATGGGTAAAATATCTTCCATCCCCAACTCTGATAGTAAGATTCACTTCCTTCTGTGATGAATTGCTTTGCCTCTGGCCAGAGAGGTCCCAGGATCTCTCAGCCTTACAGAAATCTGCTGCCTCTTCGTCCAGACTGACAGCAAATCTGCAGTTCTTAATACCATCTTCAACCCAAGCATTAATGAAATGAAGCACCTGGTAAGGTCTGTCTACATAAGCAGCTTTGCGCTGAGCAGCCCCCTGCCTGAGCTCAGCTCCCGGGATGCCTCTTGTTTGTGCCCTGGTTTAGCATACACCGACATGTTAGGTGATCTATCTTGGGACAAGCCATCTCGACCAAGACGTGGCTGGCAAGGGCTGACCTGTGACGAAGAGGTTTTCTCTGTGCACAGTGTTATTCTGCTGCAGCTATCCCTGACCGACTCTGGGTGAGGGTGGCTTATTCTGGCCTTGCTGAGCAGGAAAAAGGCATGGGGCTGTTTGGGAACAGCTGTAACACTTGGTGCCCAGTCGCTACCTGAAGCAAATTCCAAGCATAATGAGACCTAACCACTTCGCTACCCTGGGTCTCTTGTTTAATTATTATCTCTTTTGTGCGTGTGGACCTGTCTTGGAGTCACAGATAGTAACTTCTTTGGCTAGCTCTTCTGGAAGATTAGGCTATTAGCCCCAACTGGCTCAATTCCAGCACCAGTAATTGCATTTTGCCTCTTTGAAATCCCCCTGCAGTTTCAATCAGCTGGAGTATGCCTTTTTGCAGTAAGCCTCACTGCTCTATATTGCAAAACAGCGAGCAGATGCCACCTCAGACCTGGCTGGATTTTAAGCAGCGAGTAGAGTGCACCTTGCACTTCCCAAAGCTGGGGGGTGCTTCAGTGTGAGCGGTGCTCTCAGGCTGTGGTGGTGTGGTGGGAGCCCAGGAGTGTTCTTGTCCTTATTGCAGTGCCTTCTAGTTATCAGTAATTCAATCACTGGTTAACATGATCTTCCAGTTTAATCCAATAAAGACCTTATGGTCAGGTTATGTGTACTAAAACCAATGAGGGTCACCCTTTTTCTGAGCTGTCACAGTTGCTTTAAACAGCTCATAGTGGCAAATACAGGCTGGGGAACCTTGTAGGGCAGTAACTGAGACCAGCTCTTCTGAATGAAAGAGAAGCAGAAATGTAATGAATTAAATGTCTGGCAGGGGAATTGTGCTTTGGCACAGTGCCAAGCGTTAGCCCATCTGGTGTCAGGGAAGTTTTGGTACTGACTGCAGAGGAAGCAGGACATCGCCTAAATGGTGGCTCTTGCAGAGGTTTGGGGCTCATGTTCACCTCTCCCAGGGCAAATCATCTCCCTGGGTGAAGGAAATGAATCTGTGCCACCCAGACCTAGGTCCGCTGGGAGATGCGGAGGGCAGGACTTGGAGTGGCAGGAGAGCTGTGCAAGATGGGTTCTTCAGAAAATAGTGCCTGAGGGTCTTTGCAAGAGAGCTTGGAAGATAAAAGCTGGAGGGGGTTGGGGGAGGTGAAGACGGCTGGATGTTGCAATGTGAGTAATATCACTGCTTATGGAAAGCATTAAGGGGTGTAGCTAAGGATGTGGTGGCAAGGAGGTGAGGTGGAGGTGTGGAATTTCATATGTGAACCAGACTCCCAAGGGGATGGTGTGACTGAGAAGCTCTGGGAGAGGACATGACGTGGAGCTGTGGCTGCCTGCTACGGTCATCAGGCCTATCCCTGCTAGGCTGTTTGGCTAGAGATGCTGAGACAGTTTCGTGGCTCCGGTGGGCAGTTCTCCTGAGCTGTCCCTCTCTGCGATCAGGCTGGCTCCACTGTGGCTTGGCTGCCCTTCTTTGTGGCTGGAAGGGATACGCGGCACATGCAACCTCTGCGTGTGGCCACGAGTTCCTCTTGTGCTCCAGCCTACTGCTGGTCTTGGTGGGAGACTTACAGAGCAGACCCTGGCAGGGAGGGAGCTGATGATCTGTGCAGTTACTACCTCCTCCCTTCCCAGGCACCCTTCTCTTTGGCAGCGCTCTGCTTCCTCACTGAAGTTTGACGAGCTGATAAACCAGCCTGATGGATCTGGCATTGCAGCCAGCTCCATAATACCTATCTCCTTTAACAGAAAACTGCCCCACTTCTGCAGCGGGAGCACAGGTCCCTTTTGTCTGGCCTCTCTGTTCTGTGGTTGCTGTTTCTCTCCACAAAAGCTGGTGGGGATGGGAATGGATGGTAGGTGGGAAAGTCTGTGGGCGCACTTCCATGTGCCCAGGGTGTGGGAGCCAGGCGTAGAGGGTCTGCTGAAGGGAGAGGACAGCCAGGTGGGCCAGGGGGTTGGAGGGTCTAGAAGACCACTTGCTGAAGGGGAACTGCTAGCTGAATGCTGGAAGGAGCCACTAAAAGTGGGAGATACTCTTTGAGTCCCCTTAGGGCTGGGGTGAAGGGGAATCAAGGGAGATGCTGAGAAGACTCTTCCAGTGGGGAAGCCCTTAGCTCTGTGTTACACAGATGAGTGACAGAAACCAGCTTGTCTGGAAGGAGCTTTGGGAAGAAGACGCGGGGACCAGCTTAGTGGCTGGGATCACACCAAGGAGGTGGACAGGGTGCAAAAATTCCTTCAAATCATAGAAGAGAGGTGTAAACCAAAAGAAAATATGAGTGCCTTAAAGAGAGCTGATCTTGAGAAGTGGACAGATGCCCTTGGTAGTGAGACAGTAGGAGGTGATTCCAGGAACTAAGTGTCTAGCTGGAAAGTCTGGAAGGAAGGACTGACTCACCATCCCTGAACCTCTGAACCTGGAAAGTGATTGAACCCCTTTGGGAACTGGGTTGTATGGAGAGCTCCTTGTTTTAAGGAGCACAAACCAGCACAACTCTGACCAAAGCGCCCCGAGTTTCACTGTTCTCCATGCGAATCTGAAAAACAACCCTCACGAGAGTTGAGGGGAGTTGAGGTTGTAATCAGCGGGGTCTTACAAACCAGATAGGAGAAGGGTGCTCCCAGCTTAGCATGCAGGATAGTGGAGAGACTGGTGGCAAGCGGGGATGTTGACTCAGTTAGCAGTGAGCGCGAGGATTCCTGTGTCTGCTTCTGCCTTGTTGGTTTGTTGGCCCAGAGAAGCAGCTCAGGTTTCAGTCTTTGGCTGCCTTGTGAGACAGAAGCCTGCTGGGAGAGAGTGACGTGAGTTCTCCCTGAGCATCCATCGCCCTGGAGAGATGGCAGAAGCGGCGTTCCCTCCAGCGTCCTTAGATCTTCTCGGTGGAAAGGCGGCGTGGCTGCAGCACGTGGGGCTTTCCCCCACGGGAGCTAGCTAGCCTGTGACAGAGCACCGTAAGGAACGGTCGAATGTGTGACTTCAAAGGAGAGCTGACAGGTCAGGAGCATTTCTAGCTCCCGTGGGGCAAACGTCACACTGCGTTTTCCTGGTTTGTTTTTCTGCTGTGCCCATCTGCCAGTTCTTGCGCTCCTCCAGGTGGGAAGAGGGTGAGGGAAGAGAGGAGGTGCAGAGGAGTCAGGAATAGCTGAGAGTGTCTTTAGGCAAAGGAGATGGCAGATTGGATCACTGATCCTTGAAAATAGCATCTCATCTGACAGGGCCTTGTTTTAAGGGGCGAAACCTTCACTTCTCACTCACAGCATGTCAGGGCAGGCAGGGGCCATGCTGAGGTTAGTGGTTTTGGTGCAAATCCTCAGTATCCCTGCAGCAGGAGGAGCAGCAGAGCCCTGGGAGATGCTCTAAACCTTCACCATCTGTCTGAAGAGGGTCCTGACCTAATGTCCTCAATCCCATGGTCTGTGCCTGTTCTGCTGTTAACCATCCATCTAGCAAGGCAGTGACTGTGTCTGCAGACACTGGGACGTGTAGCTGTTGGTAAGGGCCTTTGGGAAGACCAGTGCCAGGCAATGGAGGGAAGGGTTTTTTTGTCTGTGCTGCTGCTGATTGCTCTTACTGGCCTCTGTGGGAGCATCACCAGGTAGGCTGTTGGGTAGCAGTAATCTTTTAATCCTCAGGGTCTTTGGGTAGAGTCTCAGTCAGGATGGGTGCTCTCTATTGAAACACAGCAGCAAAGCGGACATTGCTTCTGCCTGCGGTGGTCGGTAGATCTCAGTGGCCTGTTTGCAGCCAGAACTGGGAGACAGTCACCACATCACGACCCTGAAGGTCAGCACCTGGATCATGCTCATCTTTGGGCAGCGTCTGGAGGGAGCTGCTGACAGCATGAAGGGAATGAGCTGTGGCTTAGGGAAGCCGCTTGCCAGCTGAACAGGAGCATCTTTGCACCTCCTGCTCAGGGTGGAGGGAGCACCGTGGGTCTCCACTCAGGAGGGATGGGGAGGAGCATGCAGGAGCCGCATGGGCAGTCCTGGTTGCCAGGGAATATCCGAGGCAACAGATGTGTTTGCTGACACGGCCCTCCCTGCCTGGGAGCTCGCACCCGCTCTGGCAGCAGCAAGCAATGGACTGGCGTCAGGGATGCACGGAGATTCCTTGTGCAGGTCTCCTCTGTAAGGCATCCAGACAGCTGCTGCCTACTGCGCTCAGCGGAGCATCTGCCTTGGCAGGCAGGAGAGGAGATGGGGACCTTGGGGATTTCAGACAGTCACTTAATAACAGCAACCATAGACAGGGCAGGGTGCTCATTTCTGGCGGTGGAGGGATCCTCTTTCTTCCCTTTCTCAGTCAGAATATGTGCCGTGCTCATCGTAGGGAGAAGGGGAGTTAATTGGGATGCAAACTCCTGAAATGAAGCTCCCCGGGTACAGGCAATTTCTCAAGAAAGATGAAGGTTGATTTATGCCTACTGGATTTATGCCTGCCGCTCTGAGCCTAACGTGTCTGGTCTTACGGATACTCTCCTTATCCTGGGATCCCAGCTCCTTGCTGGGCTTCCAGAAGAAGCCACTACCTGCTCTCACCTTACATTTGTGAGATGCATCTTTCTCCTTCAACATCTGCATTTGTCTAGCAACATCACATGCGTTTGTGGTCAGAGCCACGGAACAACCAGGGCTGAAGTCGGAGGGAGGGGAGTTGGATTTCGCTCCTGTTGCTGGCTTCTGTTTCCCTGCAGCAAATCTGTTCCTTAATGACACGGAAAACTCATAATGCAGATGTTTGTGGGATGACTTTTCTGCTGTGAAGTGCTGTGCAAAGTGAAGTTCTGCATTTCAAAGATGCCCAAGTTGATTCACGTTGTGGTGGTATTACTTGGGCGTGCCAGGGAGTAGGATTTGGTTTGCTGTGCTGTTGTTTCTCTTCCCTAGTATTTCCCATTTAGCTTGTGGCTGACTGCTGTTACCACCCAGTATCTTTCTGAATCCCATGTGAAATTAATTCCCAGGTCCCAGCGTAATTCTTAACACTCATAACCTCACCTCGGAGATGCCAGGTATCAAAGCTGTTATTTGCAAATCTCCTGGCTAGCAAGTCTGCGAAAACATCTTCAGGACAGAAAGGAGCGGGGGGAATGAACATGTGAATTATCCCTAGGGAAAGTGGGTTTGCTGGGATGGGACAGGGAGCTGGGGAAGTGCAGAAGGTTGCGCTGCACTTGTCAGATGGGATTATTCTTTTCAGTGGCAGGCTACCTGCCCTTAGAGGGTCTCTGCCATTTGACCCCATCTGTGGCTAGACACGTATAATGGGGCCAGGTCTCTGCCTTTCAGAGTTCATGGTTACTTGGGATGTGACATGAAGTCTTTTGAATCTCTGTTTAGATTACAGCTTTCCTGCTGCATCTCAGAAGGCCCTGCTGAAAGGGAATGGGACGCAGGTGAAGGACAACTGGGAAACAGCCACTGTCCAGCCACCAGCAGAATTTGTCGAGCCTGACTTGCACACGCCTTTCTCCAGCACGCTGGAGGAAGAGGAGGGGCTGCTCCCTATAGACCACTCAAGAGGAGTGGAGAGCCTCCAGACCTCTGGGCCAGAGGTTACATCTTCTGAAGCAGTGGGCCAAGAGGACTCCTTCTCCCTTCTGTTTTCCACAGCCTCCGCCAGGCCAGGTGTTGTGACCGAGGCAGCCACAGGAGGGCAAGAAGAGGACTCTGTTCCTCCAGGCTTAGACCTTGGGAGCAGCATGGGACCAGGTCTTCTGCCTGTGTCCTCTATTTTTTCTACTACTACTGCTGCGAGGTCTCCCAGTATTTCAGAAGAGTCCTTTGAGGTGACAGCTGGGGACGCATGGGCTGCTGGGGGAGCAGATTCGGAGCTGACTGTGACTACCACAAGAGCAGAGCTTGCAGAGACCACGGTAGAGGCTGGTGGGGAAGAGCATTCAGCCAGAGAGGAGGTCTCAGAGACCACGGTGGGGTGGGAGATGCTGGAGCCCACAGTGCTAACTGAAATGGAGCAGACCGTGGAAACGCTTGTGGGGACACCCTCTCCTGGAGGCAGCTCCCCAGGCACCCAGACTCCTTCTGGCAGTGAGCAGCACCCCACTTCTGCATCTCCGTGGGACAGGGCTGACGAGCCTGCGCTGGATCCCATTTGGAATGACACCGAGTCAGCCACTGAAACTGTGGCAGCAGAGAGGAGCTTGTCACCCCAGGCTGGGGACGCCCGCGTGGCCATGCTGCCAACAGAGCTGCCCTGGGACTCAGCACAGGTAGCACTGGGAGCAGGTGGGAGGTTGCAGTGGAGATATTTGTGTAGTTCTTCCTGCGGGGGGTGTTTAACCCCTTAACCTTACCCACGCCCTGAAGTCTGACTGATAGAAGTAGCTTGTCCTGTTCACCCAGCCAAAACTTAATTTTGGAGGATGCTTTTCACAGCACTTCATAAGGGTATCCATCATCCTTGGTGGAAGCCCTGCCCCCTAACATCTTCCCCAGCGAACTGCTGCACAGAATCCTGCTTCTAATAAACACCTGCCCTCTGGGGCATGCACAGCAGCAAAAGCTCCTTGTTTCCTCAGCCTGCATTATTGGAAGTGTCAGGACAAAAACGGCCCCAAGGATTTCTGGAAAGGGAGTGAGAAAGAAGTGCTATTTTTGTTGCTGCTGCTGCCTGCAGGGACCAGATGCAGAGCAGGTGGAGCAGGGCAGAGAGATCTGTGAGGATGTCGGCCTAGGAGAGCCCGTGGGAGAGGAAGCGTGAGGTGAACTGCCGTTCCTGAATCCAGCAAACTGGCAGCTGGTTAAGGGAAGATTGGTAGCAGGAGCTGGCTGGTGAGAAAGTACCAGGGAAAGCTTTTCATTTTGCTGTCTGCCCCACGGTGCTCGGCACCCTGAGCAAGTGACTTAGTCCCTCTGTGCGTCCGATCCTGCCTGCAAAGTGCTGCCCTGTCTTGCGAGTTTAAGGACGACAGAGGCTCCTGGTTAGGTTTTGTGTTAAGTCCTGATCACATACAGGATAAGGCTGCAGGCTGGAGGGCGTTCCACTGAGTATCTGAGTCCTCCTGGAGTCCAGGTACAGGTGGAAGGTAAGCTGGGCTGTGGCAAGCTGGCACAGCACCTTGTCCCTGCCCCATGTGCTAGCACTGAAATAGTGTTTCCTCCTTAGTGCAGCGAGTTAGGGGACAGCTAGTTCCTTTGAGAAACACTTCTCTGGGGTATGGCACAGCCCCTTGCTCCTGCCCCTTGTGCTC